TGGAAAGCAATGGTTTACGCACGTAAGTCGGCCAGGAAAATAAATGCGCGTGCAATTGTGCGCCAGCAAAAAGCGGCAGATGCTAGTTGAAGTACTCGTAAAATCTGTCAAATTAATTGTTGGTAGACAATTCTTAACTTTTTTCATCTGGTTTTTTTTCTGCGGGGGATATTTTGATATCCTCTATGCAAGACAAATTTTTTCCCCCCAAATACACCAAGCTACACGCTCACAGCGTTCCACCATTTCAGTATTTTTCAAAAAAAAAAACGAATGAAGGATACGAAACCTTGACTGCGCGTCAGCATTGGTATTGTCTACAATAACACTCTGCTTCCGCTTCAACAAGATTTTTGCATTTTCCACGCATTTTTGCCATGTTTTCAACGTATCACGATTCACAATCTCATAGCCATAATCTCTGGCCAATTTGTTTGCGAGAAAGCTTTTTCCGGATCCTGGATAGCCAACAAACACCAGCACTTCCGGGCCCTCACCGGGTACAGCAGTGTCCTCTAAAAGAATAATAATAATAATAATAATAATGATAATAATAACAATAATAATAATCGATCACAGTAGCAACCTGTAAAATTAAACTCATATAAAAATTACCCATATTTTCATCTGTGACAGCAAACCCCGCAAATTAGCGTATACGCTATTGAAGAAGATAATTCACAAATATTTTTTAAACAAGTTTTACGCAAATTAAGTTATTATTTATCGCATCGACTATGCTCTCGCTGCTGATTACACAGGGGTTAGTACAAGAAGCTGCCCGTATCCTTAGAAAACATATGGATTTTGGTGCCAGGATCATTCCGACGGAATGCTGCGCGTTTGGGTGATGCATATTCGCTCAAAGCTATCATTGGAAAGAATCCCAACAGCGAAAATGCACAAGCAATAAAACGGCAGCGGAAAATTGAAGATATATGACAAAATAAATATTCTAAAATAAGGCAAATCAAGCCTGCGCAGCCAACAATTCGGAAATTATCGTAGGCTGAAAAAAATGAGAGATACTGAATGAGAGTACCTGGTTCAAATAGGCAAAGTTTCGCATCGAGTGACAAAGACGGGGAGAATGATGGAAGAATGTAATTTTCGATATGTGTCTGTTTCAGGAAATATTGTTCGGGTGTGAAAAAGTTGATTCCAATGTTCAGCGCAAACAATCGATCAGCAGCCGAATGATCTTTCTTTCCACGAAGCTAAAAATCGCTCAACATATCAACAGCAAAAACACACACCGTCACACCTCCATCAGCTGCTTCTAGTTCGGGAAACATTTATCGTGGAATTTTAGGATCAGCAAAACTCCGAAGACATTCTTGAAATTCGAAAGATACGCCATTCCCCGGCACAGTTGGGCACAGTTGCAGGCAAAATAACGAACCGATGAACAGATGCGACCTGCTGCATCACCGACGTAGAATGAGCACTGTCGATTGATCGAAATGCCGCCATTTTCATACTTCTCAAAATGCTCCCACATACCCGTGCATGGCTTTCGATATTGCAACGAGCCCAGTGAAACGAAAACCTGAACGATGCTTGACTGGTCATCACCGGAAAATAAAGCTAAAAAAACAAAGCTTCTGCGTTTAATTACAATTCCACGA